TATATATATATATATATATATATATATGTTTATATATATATGCGGGGTTTGTATTTATGATGTCTCCACAGGTGTTAAGAGTCCTTCGAGACTCAGCACCTCTCTTTAAACATAAATACATATATATATAATATATAATATATATATAATATATAAATATAATGTATATAATACAATATATAATATATATAATCTAATATTTATATAAAATATGAATATATAATATATAATATATATATAATATACATGAGGCTATTTCTATGGTGTTATTCACCCAAGGAGATTCTGCAGCACTAATAAATATAAATATGTTATAAATATAAATATATAATAAATAAATATATATAATATATAGTAAATATAAATATATTATAAATATAAATATATATAATATATACTAAATATAAAAATATATACATATATATATATATATATATATGCTTAATACATGTAATATATTTGTAATATATTTATAATACATTGCTATATACATATAAACATATAAATATATATAAATATATAAATATATAAATATATAAATCTATAAATATATAAATATATAAATGTATATCTATATATATAATATATATAAACGTATAAATATATAAATAAATATATTAAGAGGGCAGAGGCAAAGAAGTCGGAGGTATGCAGAGAGATATAAAATAAATTAAAACAAATAAAACAAATTAAATAAATAAATAAATAAATGAAGGCGTGTAAAGAGGTGAAGGAGACAAAAGAAAAGAGATTATAAAGAGTATTAATATATAAATTAAATAAAGCTGAAGACAGAAAAAGAAGAGAGAAGAAGAAAGAGAGACAGGTAACAGAGAAAGACGCACGCAGCAAAACACCAGCAGCAGCAGCAGCAGCAGCAGCAACAGCAGCAGCAGCATCTATATTTGCTCTCTGCGTTTTCTTGCTGCTGGTGAACATACTTCTTTGTGCGTCTCTTTTCTTTGCTTTCATACATACTTGAGGTGTATATACACCTCATATTTACTGCTCCGCAAGGAGCTGCCAGCAGGCAGCAGGTATGTTGCTGCTGCTGCTGCTGCTGCTGGTGCAGCAGCAACTCATCTGCAGCAACTAAGACTTAAGCAGGTGTTTTAGAAGTGGGGCAGAGGGAAGCCTTTTGGATGATAGTTAGCATCTGCTGCTGCTGCTGCTGCTGCTGTTGTAGCTGATACAACTGTTATTGCTGTTGCTGTTGTTGATGCTGCTGTAGCAGCAGCAGCTGCTGTTGGTGCTGCTGCTGATGCATTTGCCACTGCTGCTGCTGCTGATGCTGCTCTATTATTTGTTACTCCCCAGCAGAAGACCTGCTACGTCTGCTGCTATTGCTGCGGCTGCTACTGCTGCTCGCTGCTGTTTACTAGTTAAGCTTCAGCTAGGTTAGCAGCAACAGCAGCAGCAGGACCAGCATCTGCTGCTGTTGCTGCTTGAAATTTCCCCAGAGCAGCAAGAAACAGTTCTGGTGGCGGCATTGTCCCCAACAGCAGCAGCAACAGCAGGAGCAGGAGCAGCAGTAGCAGCAGCAGTAACAGCAGCAGCAGCAGCTTGACACCACAAGCAGCAGCAGCACCAGAGAAAGCCAGCAGACGCATGCAGGTGTGCATATTACATTAAAAAACATAACTAACTTTCTACTATTGTTGTTGTTTTTGCTGCTGCTGCTGCTGCTGCTGCTGCCTTCGTAAGGTCACCTGCTGGTAATGGGGTGTACGCTCAGCTACAGATATGGGCGGTAGCGAGACAGCAGCAGCAGAAGCAACAAGAAGAAGTTAATTTATTATTATTATTAATCAATAAATAATTAAACTCAAATATACTGTCCTTGCTGCTGCTGCTGCTGCAGTTGCTGCTGCAGCTGCTGCTGCTCAGTGGGGTCACGCTGGATGGAGGTGATCTCTGCTGCTGCTGCTGCTGCTGCTGCAGCGGCTGCTGCTGCTGCAGTCGTTTGCAGCTGCATATCAATTTATCATCTCAACAAAACTTAAAAATAAAAAGAAGAAATATTTTTAGAAAGGAAACAGCAGGCGATTAGAGTGACCAGCTGCTGCCGTTGCTGCTGTTGCTGCTGCTGTTGCTGCTGCTGCTGCGGCTATCTCACACTGCTGCTGCTGCTGCTGCCGCATTTCCTTCCCCTCATTCCGGTGTCTGTACACCTCATTGCATGCATTTTAAATTCTTTCGCAGTTTTCTTAACTTGCTGCAGAAGGGACCCCACCGCAAACTTGGGGTGTATAGGCAGCTCAGAGCAGCAGTAGTAACAATGTTTCTAGTTGCTTCTGCTCCATTAGGGGCCTGAGAGCAGCAGCAGCAACAGCAGCAACAGCAGCAGCAACAGCAGCAGCAGCAACAGCAGCAGCAGCAGCCTTGGGAAGACACTGCTGCTGCTGCTGAGTACGGCGAGGTGTGCATACACCCCAACCCGACCAATTCAAAGGAAGCAAAAGCTGTACACTACACAAAGACCTTCAGCCTGCTGCTGCAGCAGCATCAGCAGCAGCAGCACCAACAGCAGCAACAGCAGCAGGAGCACCACGCATTATTGCAACGAGAAAGAAGAAATAAAAAGCAAATAAATAAATAGATAAATATATAAATATATAAATTAATATTAATATTATTAAATATATTAATTAAATAATTAGACGAAGGCCCAATGAGGCTTCCTCAAATATAAACATGAGGCGAAAATCCGTCATAGAAAAGCCAGCAGCAGCAGCAGCTGCTGCTGTTGCTGCTGGTGCTGCTGCTACAGCAGCAGCAGCAACTAGACCCGCAGCTGTTGCTGCAGCCCGACAAGCTGCTGCTGCAGCAACAAGAGCTGCTGCTGCAGCAAGTGGTGCGAGGCTTAGAGCAAAGAATAGACAGCCTAGAAACAACCAACAGGAATCAATAAGACCCATAGCAGCAACAGCAGCAGCAGCAGCAGCAGCAGCAGCAAAAGGCGTAGCATGGGACAGCAGCAGCGCCACTTGCCGCTGCTGCACCCTTCAGCAAATCCACTGCAGCAACAGCAGCAGCAGCAGCAGCGTAACGTGTCACAGAAGCAGCGGAGGGCGCACCAGCTGCAGCTGCAGCAGCAGCAGCAGTTCTTGCTGCTGCTGCTGTTGCTGCTGCAGCGTCCTGCAAGGAGAAGACTCTCTTGCTGCTGCTGCTGCTGCTCTTAGAGCGCAGCGGAGAGACAAATGTCGCTGCAGCCTTCAAGAGGGAGACATAGAAAAGCAGCTTTGCTGCTGCTGCCCCCAGAGAAGCAGCAGCCAGAGCCGCGAAAGCAGCAGCTGCTGCTGCAGCAGCTGCAGCAACAACAGCAGCAGCAAATATATGAAGGAGATAGCGAAATTAAACGCAGCCAACGGAGCATGCTGCAGCACCCATGCTGGAAGCTGCAGCAGCAACAGCAGCAGCAACAGCAGCACTCCAACTGCTTCGCTGCTCTCAGCTGCCTCTGCTTGCTTTTCTACAAATGCAGCAGCAGCAGCAGCAGCAGCAACGGCAGCAGTAGCAAGTGCTGCTGATGCTGCTGCGAAAGCTAGACAGACGTGCGTCTGTTCTGAAGCAGCTGCTGTTGCTCCGGAGTCGCAATCTAGAGCATACACCTCCGCAGTGTCTCCCCAGCAGCAGATGCTGCAGCAGCAGCAGCAGCTACTGCTGCAGCAGCAGCAAAGCTTTGGTGTTGAGGAGCTGCTGCAGCCGATACTGGTGCCCTCGTATGAAGCCGCAGCAGCAGTACCAGCAGCAGCACATGCCGAAGACCTTAGCGTACACTGCGAGCAACAAGAAATGTACGATCAGCAGCAGCTGCAGCAGCAGCAGCAGCTGCAGCTGCAGCAGGAGACGCAGTCCGACAGCTGCAGCAAGAAGCAGAACCTCTTGGGGCTGCCTTGGGATAAATTACACTGCAGCAGCAGCAGCAGCAGCATCAGCATCAGCAGTGGCAGCAGCTGCAACAGATGCAGTTGCAGCAGCAGCAGCAGCAGCAGCAGTTGCAGCAGCAGCAGCAGCACGGAGGCCTTCCTTGCTGCTGATGCAGCTTGGTGGCAAAGGAGAGCTGCGGCGTGGAGACAGCACGCAGTGTCTTCCTTTAAGCAGCTGCAGCAGCTGCAGCAGCTGAGTAAAAGTCTGCAGCAGCAGCTCCGCCTCATGCAGCAGCAACACTCAACTAAGCAGCAGCAGCCGCAGCAGCAACTGCAGCAGCAGCAAGTACCCAACTAAGGCGCGGAGTGTCGTCTTATGGATTGCTGCTTAAATCGCTGCTGCTGCATACGGGCAAGCAGCAGCAGCAGCAGCAGCAGTGACAGTAGCAGCAGCAGCAGCAGCAGCAGCACCAAAAGCAGCAGCAGCAGCGGGATCCGCTTCATTTGTCTGCAGCCAAAACAACTTTAAACAAAAAGTCAAATATAAATGCAAGTATAAAATTATATTTATATAAACACAAATATATTCATATATATATATATATATATATATATATATATATA